TCAAGAGCGGATCCACCTCGCTCTTGAGTTACAGCTTCAAATGGTGGCCATGCACACGACGAATGTGGTCACCAGCATTCGCCAACTCGACTTGGACATCCGGCAGGATGCAAGCGAGTGAATACTCGGATGGCCAAGGTGGGGGCGGGACCAGCTCGTAGTGGTCTCCAGCTTTCTTTCGAGCTGGCTTAGCTGCCTGCAGTTTCGGCCCCACTCCTCCTTGATCTGTTCTTTCGGTGACGGAGTGGACGGGAGTGGCGGCGAAGGTATGGGAGGCGGATCCTGCAAAATGGGAGAAAGGGAAAGATACACGACATCCCTCAAAACTAAGGTCTCATCATGCACATCTATGAGAGCCTTAGCGGTGGCCAGGAAAGGCCTTCCCAGTATAAGGGGCACTTTTGTATCCTCATTGATGTCCAAGACAACAAAATCCACAGGATAATTGAATTTGCCAACCTTAACTAGAAGGTCTTCCACTATGCCTCTAGGATGCACTACATATCGGTCAGCTAATTGAAGGCTCATCCTAGTAGCACGGGGTTCACCTAGGCCTAGTTTCTTGAACAGTTTATACGGCATAACATTGATACTAGCACCTAAATCCGCCAAGGACCTCTCTACATGCAAATTATCTATAGAGCACGGGATACTAAAACTACCTGGGTCCTTCTGCTTCTGCGGAAGCTTGTTCTGCATAATGGCCGAGCACTCCTCGCTGAGCTCCACAATGGCCAACTCGCTCAGCTTCTGCTTCTTTGAGAGAAGATCCTTCAGGAACTTCGCATACTTAGGCATTTGAGATAGTGCCTCCAGGAAAGGTACTTGGACATTCAGCTTCCTAAGCATGGCCATGAAGTTCCCGAACTCTGCCTCCAACCTGTCTTTGTGCAACCGAGTAGTGAAGGGGAGTTGAGGGATATACTCCCTCTCTTGTGCCCGAACAGGTGGATCAGCAGTCATCTTTCCACTCCTGGTTGTGATAACATTGCAGTGCTCATTCGGGTTCTGCGGATGAGGGATGGTCTGACCGGGTAGAGTACCAGGAGCCCTTTGTGCCACTGCTTGAGCCACACTCTCCAGCTGGGTTTGGATATCCTGCAAGACAGCCTGTGTGTTCCTCTGGCCAGCTTCAAGAGTCAGGAATTTACCCGAGGCCTTTTCCATGAACTGCTCGATAGTGTTGAATTTCTGAGCACTAGAACTGGCGAGAGAGCCCACCAAGTCCCGCAGTTCAGCCATCGGATCATTTTGCACTGGGGTGGCAGGGGCTGCACTTGGCTGCTCGAAAGGTCGCGGTTGTGATTGAGCAGCCTGCCCCTGCATGGGCTAGTAGAGAGACTGCTGCTGCTGCTGGAATTGCCCCTGTCTGGGCTGATATGGCGGCCTCTGGAAGCCTGGTGGTCCCTGGGGGAATGGTGGTCTAGAATTTGCTCCACCCCAGGAGAAGTTGGGATGCTGGCGCCACCCCTCGTTGTAAGTGTTGCTGTAGGGGTCATTGCGCCTAACATTATTGATGAAGTTCACCTGCTCCTGGGGTGTGGTCAATTCCTTCATCGCCTGGCAGTCTTCCATTGTATGATGGGAGCTCTCACACCATTGGCAGAGCATCGCCTGCTGCTGTCCGGTCCCTGGAATCATCCCAGAACGATCGATAGCTGAAACCATCTTCGACACCACCTGCACCAAATCAGAGAAATGGTTTCCCACAGAATGTACACCTCGGCTTGGTGCTCTCCTCGACCTCCTAGCAGTGCCCCAATCATACCCGTTCTCTGCCCTCTCCTCAAAGAGTTGATTCAGCTGTGGCGGTGTTTTGGTCAGCATGTTCCCAGCACAAACTGAGTCAATCAGCTGCTTGTCTTCTGGGAAGAGGGCGTGACAAAAGGTTCCCACCTTGAAAGCATCATTGAAACCATGATTGGGACACCTCAGGAAGAGACTGTTGTATCTCTCCCAAGCATCCCTAATGGTCTCATCCTCGTCCTGAGCAAAATGGGTAATTTGCTTCTGCATGTCCGCCGTCTTGGATGGAGGATGGTAGCGGGTGAGGAACTTGTCCGCGAGGTTGGCGAACATGGTGATAGAGCCCGGAGGTCGAGTGTCTAGCCACTCCTTAGCCTGCCCCTCCAGGGTGAATGGGAAGTACCTCAGTTGGATGGCATCTGCTGGGACCCCATTGATCTTGATTCCATCGATGAGCTCGTGGAATCGCCGAAGATGTGAACGAGGGCACTCCCCCTCTTTGCCTCGGAATACCACTAAACCGCGCAGCATGGTGATTACTGAGGCGCAGCATGGGACATGAGGGTGTTGAATGGGTGACCTCATGTCTGCAGCCCTGGCGGTCCAGTAATGCCCCATGGTCTGCTCCTCGGGATGGACCACATCATGGTCCTGTGGATCCCCCATCTCTTCTTCTTCAGCGATCTGCAGCTGTGCTAGCTCCTCCTCCGCAGCTAGTCGCGCCTTTAGAGCCCGCTTGAAGTTTCTGCAGGTTCGTCAAGCTCCTGGTCTAGTGGTAGTATATCTCCCGACTGGCTACGGGTCATGCACTACCTGCACACAATCAGCAGAAGCAACCCGTGAAGGCACACAGGTGGAAGAGATAAAATGCAGTAAAGAAAAAGCTAGAGTAACAGATTTGCACGTTTCCCCAATAACCTAGAGGGTCCCCGGCAACGGCGCCAAAAACTTGACAAGCCAAAACACAACACCAAACTGCGACCAGTGTAATCGAAGTCCGGGAATGCAGTAAAATGGCAAGTTCTATTATCAACCCGGGGCCTAGATCTACTGCTTACTCCGTGAGTATCTATTATCTAGCCAACTAAGTTAAGTGTTTGTTGTTTTAAGCAAAAGCAGAAAGAAAGCAGGAATTGGTACGGTTTTCTCAAGCAAAGAAGAGTCACTCGGGAATGAGTCCCCCTAGCTCCTTAGTTAGGTTTCAATTGTAATTTCCCTGGGTTGATTTACTGTTGATTAGACTGCGAAAGATCCGACAGTAGCTTGGAATCTCTTAAGCTGACCAAGCCCTCCTAGTCTAACTACCCGGCAGACGACTAGTCTTCACCGGGATAGAAAGCTGAAGCAATAAGCACAGAACTCCACTACTGGAATTGGATTCCAGTACAAAGCAGTAAACTGGCTAACTCTCCTATAGCCAATCTCCTACTACCGAATGATGAGGCTCTAACAACCTAATCAGGTTCTATCTATCTCAGGTTGCAGAAGAAATCAGCAAAAGCTGATCAGACTTCAATTGACTCAATAAACATGCATCATTCGATTAAAACCAAGCAGTAATATCATCCCAAGTCATTACAACCAAATCCCTAACACATGGAACTAGGGTTTCTACTCCATAGAGAGAGAGGGGAAAACAGAATACAAAGCAGTCATACTCATAACAATGGGAAGAATCTGCTCTGGGATGATGATTTCCACTCCTATGACGATCTCCAAGCTCGATTTGATGAAACCCAGCTCCAAGATGGCTTCTAGGATGTGTTCTTCGTACTTTCTCTCTCTAGGGCTCTGTTTTCGCTCTAAAAATCCGATTCCCTCACTTGCAGCCCGAAATTGGGTAAAAACCAGAAATTCCCGACTCACACGGTCAGCCTCACACGGCCGTGTGGCATACCCAGTTGCCCGTGTTCAAAACGCCACGTTCCGAGTAATTGGGGTTCAGGTTTCCAATACGGCCAGGGGCACACGGCCGTGTAGCTCACCCAGCCTGGCCGTGTGAAGCCTCACAGAATTCCACACGGCCAAATTGCAACCTCACACGGCAGTGTGGATTTTACTTGTGCCCGTGTGAAGGCTCGCACAATCCCACATGGCCAAACTGGTCACTTGCACGGCCGTGTGAGTTGTGAGTGTGCCCGTGTGGCTTCCTTTGTGACTTGCCTCGCGCCCGATCTTCGTCCAATCGACCCCGAACTCGCTCCTAAACCTTCATTCACTTGCTAGGACCTGAAATATCACAAACAAACACAACCTAGCGTGAAATCGGCCTAAAACACGAGAATCAACACCTCAAACGGCTCCAGAATAGGGGTAAAAACATGTGCAATTAACGACTTATCACATGATCGGGCGGGGAAAACGGGGTTCGAACCCGAGACTTTTGTCGTGACAGACCTGCACTCTAACCGACTGAGCTATTTCCCCCTTTCGCCGCTATTTTTATTAAAAAAGTAACCTACCGGCCTATTAGTTTACAAAGTCAACATCAGAGAGTATTCTTAACAGCTGTACTAATGTCGTTCGCCCCGCGAGCGCTTTACTAATATAATAGAAGAAAAAAAGGCTCTTCTGCTGAGTGAAGCTGCGAGCCTACTTAAAACGGTGATATTGTAGGTTCGAGCCCTACTAAGCCTACCACCCCTTCTCTTCACCCGATACAAGGCAATCGAAGTCCCCTAACCCTGCGGATCTCAATGACGCGACGGCACCCGGAACCACACTGCTGCCTAACCTTCGGGCGCGCCTCCTACGCTTACCACTCACCCACGCTCAGCATGCCCCCTTCTGGTAATAAGGCTTTAGGCGAAGCAGCTAAGCGTCTTCGATCGCTATATTCTTGCGATAGCGAAGGAACGAAGTAATGAGTCCGAAGGTTTAGAATATGTTCGACCGTAGGGAGAAGATGCGAAGTTGCTCGACTGAAAGGAGAGGAGGGGAATATATTCGACTATAGGGAGAAGGTGCGAAGTTGCTCGCATTCTAATTAGAACAAGAAGGAGAGGAACGACCTATATTGCGTCCGTTATCTTTACTTCACTCCCCATCTTCCGTTATTTATATACTAGTTTATGTGGATGATATAATCATCACTGGATCCGCTGCAGCTGAAGTGAATGCTTTTATCTCTACTCTTGCCAAACGATTCTCAATAAATAAAGCCAGCTTTATTATTTCCTTAGAGTTGAAGCTAACTATACTGCTTGTTCTTATCTCAAAGTAAGTAGATCAGTGACCTCTTGCATCGACTTAACATGGCTGATGCCAAGGCTGTCTCAACGCCTATTGTTACTACTGAAGTGCTTAAATTCTCAGATGGCTCACCACCGACTGATCCTAAATTATACCGCCAAGCTCTTGGGTCCTTACAATATCTCTCTTTGACTCGTCCTGACGTCTCCTTTGCCATCAACAACAAAGCTCTCTCAGTTCATGCATTGTCCATCCACACTTCATTGGTGTGCTGTAAACGCCTCCTCCGATATCTAGTTGGCACTCTTGACTATGGTCTCTTGCTCCGTAAGAATTCTCCTCGCACTCTTCACGCATTTGCAGATGCCGATTAGGTCGGTGATCCTAATGATCGAACTTCCACTTCTCCTTATGTTGTTTTCCTTGGAGCCAATCCTATCTCTTGGAGTTCTAAAAAGCAAAACACAGTTGCTCGATTCTCCACCAAAGCCGAATATCAGGCCATTGCCTCCACAGCCGCTGAAGTAAATTGGATCATGAATCTTTTTCAAGACAAGAGCTGAAAGTTCCAATCTAACCCACTTCAAGTCATCTATTGTGACAATGTAAGTGCTACTTATGTTTGCGCCAACCCCGTGTTACATTCTCGTATGAAGAGCATTGCCATTGACTTCCATTTCGTTCGAGATCAAGTTTATACTTGTCAATTGCTTCTTTCTCATGTTCATACTTCTTACCAACTTGTCGATTCACTTACTAAGCCCGTGGCTCACCAGCACTTTCAAACTCATCGGAACAAGTCCTCAATGGCCAGCCAATCTTGCGGGGGCATGATTCAATTATAAGCTAAACCCAATCAACTGCATTAAAAAGGTCTGAGCCCTGTGTTGATAGAAAGAGCGCTCTTTTCATGAAACTATAAATATCGTAAGAAGAAGAATAACGCCCAAAAACTCCCATTTTTTTTTTTTAATTAATAGGCACTTTCCATTAGCTCGAGTCAGGGCTTTTCAGAGGTAAGTGGGAGATCTACTTGTTTTCACTTGATTTTTTCTCCTTATTGGGTAGGTGTTCAGTGTACCGTAGTACAAGACAAAAAAGAATGCTTTGCATTCCATTCCAATGTGATGTGAGAAAAAGTTATTGCGAGAGAGAGGCCAGATGAAGGTGAAATCCCAAAACCAAACGAGCGTAATAGATGAAGCGAGTCTAGACGTATAGAGCTCAACCAGCTATGGAAGAGACTGTTTCAGTGAATTTGGGTACAATGAAAGGAAGTAAAACTGGGTTCTAGTCTTTCTAACGATGAAAAGGCTGACTGAGTGGCCCTGCTTAATGAGTTCATCGGTGTTGTCCCTTGGTCTTATGATGATATGCCGGGAATGGATCCGAAGATTGTGCAGCATTGCATTCCTACTTTTCCAGGCCTGATTAGGGTTAGGGGGAATAGGCTGGCGAGAAGGAGAATTCTATTTCTTCTTCTATTTCAAAGTTCTAGTCCAAAAGACTAATTCAATCCCACTCTTGGGTGACCTTATCCATTTGGCGGATTGAACACTGGTCACATCAAAGGAGAATGAAAGGCGTTCTACCTAATGCTAATAACTCCATCAAGAACGATATCCCAAATACAGATTGGGCCTACTATACCCCATCTTCAACTAAAATTCCTGTCCTAGGGGAGAGGACCATTCTCAAGAAAATTCCGTCCTCTCTCTTTCTTATTAGGCGACAAAGCAGAATCCCCTATGCAGAAGAAATCCTTTGACCTTTATTGCACTCAAGGAAGACCCGACCTCCGAATACCAAGCTTAAACGCTTGCCTGAGTGCGCCTATTACCGTTCTCACTCATTGTTCCCCAATCGTCTTTGGACAACCTGCCATTTGAGGGCCTTTTGAAGAAGATATCATAATATCAAGAAGAAAGATCTTACCACTTTCCTTTTTAGCTGGGCTTGTTGTCTTGTACTTTGAAAGGGACATTATTTAGACTAATACTGGTGCTTCTAATTAGGATGCATAACATTATCTCTTAGAGGGGAAGGTTGACTTAGCCTGCCTCTCCCATCATGACTTTCTTTCATGAAGGACAAAAAAGCAATGATGATCAGAAGAGTCTTGGTCACTAGAAAGTGCTTAAGAGCAGAAGGAGGGGAAGTGAGATCCGCTAAGATCGAGTTGAGATTCCTAATTCAAGTAAGGGAGTGAGTCTATATGCCTTCCTTTGTTTAGTTAGTAAGAAGATGCCAGTACTCTCATTGAGAGGTACTAAGGTCCAGTTACAACAAGTCTCTCAAAAAGGCCTTTCTTTTGGACCGACTCTCTCATAGGTAAACTTACAAATGTACAAGAGCTCTGGTAAGGCTCGCCTAGGCTAACGCTCTGAGCGCATCTGGATCTGATAATGCCAATCCGCTTACGTTACGCCAGCTTTGCTGGTGCAATTAGGAATATATATATATCACCTGGTCAGCAGTACCTCATTCATTCCTATAATTATTCCTATGTCTGAAAGCTGCAACAAAGGAAGAATAAAGGGGATTGAGAAAGCAGACAAAAAGAAAATGATTGACAAGAGAAGATTATGATTCTGCAGCTCATTCAACAACTTATTCAACAACTGAAACTGAAAAGAGCATGAAATAGATTTGCTAGTTGCCGGTCCAGATGCGGAAGCGAGAGCAGCGGATGCGGTGGTTCTAGGGCGAGATACAAATAATTAATTAGTGTAGGTCCCAGTCGAGAACTTCATGCCTCCCCCTATCGGTTGGTTGAGCCTGAGAATGGAAGTGACTTCTAGTTTGGACTTTGGACTTAGAGCGAGTGATGGATGTGACCCGTGGGAAAGAAGCTACGAAGAAGAAGGTATACGGAGGACTTGTTTAGGAGGTGAGCTTGGCTTGCTGATAGTGAGGAAGCCATAATCTATCGGATATCAGATTTCCTATTTTTCTATGTGTCTAGTTAAGACAGAAACTCATATAATAGAAAGAAAAGAAATCTTTGAAGAAGGGAAGTTCCGTAAGAAACAATGCTGCTCCGTGGACCGCAACTGCTCGCTTGTCGGGACTGATAGGAAAGTTAAGTTCTTTTTTGATGAGGCACCGGGTTTTTTATACCGAGGCTATGGGTTAGTATCTCTACCCCTTTCCGCGGTTTCTTTTGTGATAAAGGGATGGGTCGTCCTTCTTTCTTAAGCTAGATCTTAGGCTCCCATCATCGATTCCAAGAAAGTCTTAGTTATTAGGAAAGAAATTAAGCAGCCTATCTGCCACTGAGTTGGAATCGATTTTCTTAACCTGCTAATGCAAGGAGATTAGCCAAATATTAGAATATGAGGGCGTCAACAATGGTTTGAACGCTCGCACAGACGAATAGAATACCGGATTGGACCTTAGCCGCTCGGGAATAAAATCCTTCTCCACCAGGAAAGGAAATCGCCACGACGTACAAGCGAGCCATGACTGCGATCTTTCATGATATGATGAACAAGGCAAGGAACGAAGTAGCTCGACCGATAGGGAGAGGAATGAAGTAGCTCGACCGATAGGGAGAGGAACGAAGCGCTTTGATGCTGACTTTTTTTTAATAAAAAGGTAGTCACCTTAAAACTTGCATGCATTAAGGGTGGATTTCGAAAGTGAATAAAAGCTCTCGAGAGAAAGAATCAATAATCACCAGCAGGGAGAGTTTCAACGAAAGAGAGATAACTTTTAGTAATAGAGAGAGGAATGATCCATTCTCTTTTCCACAAACTCTCTTAAAAAGCAATCAAGATCGAAAATCTAGAAAGCGGTTGGAATAATATGGGTTCAGTACTCCCGTCACAAAGGAATTTCTTAACCAGGTCCGAGAAATCCATTTCATCAGGCGATGAACGAATCTACAGGTCCTCTTACAGCCATCCATTAGCAGCCTTTTCGAAATAAATAGTAAACATTAAAGGAAAGCACCCCACTCCCTGCACAAGGTTGTTCCAGACCCCAAGAAGAGACCAAGTAATCAGTACCATTACTACGATAACCACGTAAGATAAAAGGTTCACCTACAGACATTAAAATGCCAGGTCTGTAATCCAAACCGGCATTCAAGCCAAGCCCAGGGAATCAAGAGTTCTTGCGATTCATAGATAGAGATCCCTCATAGATGGTTGAACCTGACGCGACGCTATTACTTTACGGGGAGAGCTATAGTAGAGAATGCCTTTGAGATGGGATAGAGGTCGAGTTAAGCATGGACCTCTAAGACAGAGAGACCAGAGCAGACGAAATAAAGTCCATTCCATTTAGTCATTCAAAAATTGTCGGTATAGTCATGAAATACTAATCCGACCTTAGATCAGGAGACGTTCCCCCTCAATAAGGAATGGTAGAGAGAAAGGCAGTCAAGGAGGATTGTTGATGTATCAATTCCCACAGTTCGCTTTAAGCTGAGTAATCCTTAGGTCTAAACGCTGTCTGCTGCTGATTTTCTATAAGAGCTTGCCTTAGAAGTGCAATTGGCTCAAGAATAGCTGGTATAAGAGCTGGTGTATGTTTGGAAAATTTTCTATTTTATTGGACAAATTGAAATAGGTCGTAGAACTGCAATTAGATCAATGGCTGAAAATAAAAGCAGGATCAAGAACTCATCAAGCTTATGGACATCTAATCCCTAGTGAAGATCAGACTGGACTGACCCTCTTCATTTCGACTATTGAATAGATTCTTTCTCCAACCTCAAAGAGTGACGAAAGCAATTCTCATATAGAGTTCTTATATGTCCTAATGTCTTCCTTGTCTGTCCTCTACCTTATCTAGGCTCTTGGATAGGTAGCTTGGGCAAGAAAAGGAGATAATTAGGTATTCCAAGATACTTTTAGTAATGAGTTTGACATCTTGTTCATCTATACGTTGATAGTTTTCGTCATGCATTGAGTAATATTAAAAATAGATTGCCTTCACAAAGCAATCCAATAAAGAGGTGTTTTGGGAAGAATAAGGAAAGAGTTTCAATAAGAACATGGAGTTGGAGTTTGAACTGAATATCCTCATCAGAGAGGGGCCTCCAACTGGGAAAGGATGCTTAAGTGGGACGTGCAATGCGATTTCAACTTGATTCATGATAGTGGTGTACAGTGAAGGGAAAAGTCAGTAAGCCAAGAGCAGCTGATTCAATAGCTACCTAAGAGCAACTGTGCACAACAAGAAATTCATTAGGGAAGGCGGACATCTGTCGAAGCAGGATGATTGGTTCAAGGTCCACAAGGCCGGGGGGACTTTCTTATGGAATCTTATAGGAAACGAAACCTCACTGAGTTGAACATTAGACCTTTCCGGCTTCGACAAAATGAGGAAAAAAAGGATATGGATTCTAGGAAGAAAGACCTGGAAA